GAGGACAGCGTGTGGTCACTGGGAGACAGAGGACAGCGTGTGGACAGACTGTGAGGAGGACTCTTTAGCTCTGGCTGCCAGCTTCTGTCTCAGCTCTCGGATTTCCTTCAGCAGCTGTCTTTCACTGCTGTCCAACTGGGCCCGGCCTCGGTCCAATGAGACTGGAAGGACACGAAGACAAAGACTTCAGATTTAAAAAAAAAACTTATCCCAGCATAAATTAAAAAAAATTCTAAATGTTGTTTAGTCCAGAGGAACAGAAGAGAAGCAGATGAAACAGTATCTTTCACTCAGTCGTTGGAGGAACAAAGAACATGAACTTTAATCAGAACTTGTAAATAAACAGTTGTTGTTAACAGGACGGCTGGAAAGTCTTATAAAGGAGAGGAATATTGTAAATGCTGGTGTATAAGACAATACTTTTTTCTCACGCTCAGGACCTCGTGGCTTATACACAGGAGTGGCTAATGTATGTACTTTAAAAAAATTATAATATTAAATTTTTATATTTTATTTTGACAGGCTGCCAAGTTTCTTGCTGCTGAATAACATTTTCCTTGGACACACCTGGGCCCACCCAACACAGCCCCCACAGACAGAGCGAATACCACAGGTGCTCATGACAGGTACCTCTCGCTCATGGCTCCAGTTTTGTTTCTAAATACCCACAGTGTTTCCCCTACCATTATACCAGCAGGACGGGGCGCCCCACCCCGTCAACAGAACCGAGCACACTGTCTACCAAACCGCGCGCACCCCCTCCCACCCACCTGTCGGCACTGATGTAACACTAAGCTAGCTACTCGTAATACAGGAGTGCTAGTTAAAAAAAGCTAAAGGCAGCCTCTTCCCTGCGACCAGAAGTTACCCTAATGACCAATGAGGTACCGTACGTACTGTCGCTGAGTCATGAGAACACCCCCCCCCTCCCCCCCAAGATTTGATCAGATTTCCTGTTTAAAAATCTGCTGACTCCTTAGATAAGTAATGTTATTACTGTAACTGACTTTTTATGTATATGAATATTTCTGCTCAGTGCCCTGAGACGACTTCTGTTGTGACTTTGCGCTGTATAAATAAACTGAATTGAACTGAAATACCAGTGAAATAAATAAAAAAATATATCCTGAAATGGTGAGGGGAGGAGCCGAGGAGGGACTGTGTGGACACAGTGACTGCAGCTGAGGAGCAGTTCCACCATGCACGTTCTGACTGAAAAGCCCATAAAAGTAAACATCACCATGGAAACATATAAACAAACATGCAAACATACATACAAATATACATAGATACATACAAACATACATACAAATATACATAGATACATACAAATATACATACATACATACAAATATACATACATACAAATATACAAATATACATACATACATACAAACATACATAGATACATATAAACATACAAATATACATACATACAAACATACATACAAACATACATAGATATATAAATACATAAAAACACATAGATACAAACATACAAACATACATACAAACATACATAGATATATAAATACATAAAAACACATAGATACAAACATACAAACATACATACAAACATACATAGATATATATAGATACATAAAAACATACAAATATACATAGATACATACAAACATACAAATATACATACAAACATACAAATATCCATCCATCCATCCGGGGACATAGTCTGTCATCTCAGACTATGAGGAGAACAGTTTCACTTTGAAGAGGAAATTTCCTTCTGACTTTTTTTTAACAAGGCATTGTTCAGAAATAAAACAACCATTTACCATACCAACAAAGTTCATGCTCAATAATCCAGGTATACAATCCAACATTTTTAAGTCAGGTCATCTGGACAGTTTCTTTTTTTTTGTGCTGAAACGTTTCACCTTTGATCCAGAAGGCTTCTTCAGTCTAGGAAACACACAACACAAAACTGATTCTTCCCACAACAGCTTACTCCAAAGTGAAACAAACCAGTTATGTTGATCCAAAGATGGTCTCTTTGAAGGAAGAGGGCCAGCAATGGAGAAGGGGTCTTGCCAAAGAAACCATCTGGTTAACTGGTTTGTTCCACTTTGGAGTAAACTGCTGGGGGAAGAATCAGTTTTGTGTTGTGTATTTCCTTGACTGAAGAAGCCTTCTGGATCGAAGGTGAAACGTTTCAGCACAAAAAAAAGAAACTGTCCAGATGACCTGACTGAAAAAAATGTTGCATTTACCATACTGTATGTAGTAGCTTATGTTACTGGTACATTCTTAAGTAAAAGTTAAAAAAATAAATCTTTCTGTGCATGGTAAATAACGCTCACAGCGAGAGAGAATGGGAGGGGGTGTTCCCCCTCTTCATGACTCGTGTGCTGCGGAGCAGAAATCATCAAATGTTTTTATAAAGCACATTTTAAAAACAGCAGCTGTTATCAAAACGTGCTTAACAATAAAAATCAATGGCAGTCATTTAATAAACATTTACCGTACCTTAGTATTTTTCCGGGTACTGCTGGTCACATGACCTCAAGTAGGAATTGTGAGTAAAATTTACCGGGATGTAAATTTTTTAATAATTTTGGTTACGTAGGTGTTTAGCCCTGTTCTCTGCAGTGATTACCAGTAGTGTGTTCTGCTAAGACTAGATTGTGTTCATTCTGTAGGTTGAATGGTTATTTACCATAGTAGATTAGTGGTAACAATGAGTCAGAGAGCGAAGCATCATGAAGACCCTGATGATCACAATCCGTGTGTTGAAAGCAAGCCAAAGTCTAAGAAACGCCATCTGGTGGTTGATTCTTGTACAACAAGAGCTGCACTTGTGCCAGGAGCTGTGTACACATTCTGATATTGAATTGTGGACACCCGCGGCTTAAACACCGGAGCATCTTATTTATGTACAAAATTGAGTTTCATTTTAAATTTAGTATGTGCTGCTTTACAGTCAGGTGTGTTCTATAGACCGGTAAGTACGGTGGATGAATAAATGCTGATTTTCTTCTGGTTAAACATCTGAAGTGACTCACAGTTGGTGGAGCTGCTCCCTGAAGGTGAGGTACTGTTCAGACACACCATGTTGGTTCCTGCAGGTTCCTGTGAGCTCACTGCTGGACTCGCTCCTCCGTGTCCCGCAGAACCAGCAGGTCTGCAGAGAAGTCCCCGAGGTGGACACAGCGATTGGACGTTCGTCTGTCTCTGCCCATCTGACACATGAGAGTGATGATCCATCAGATCCATGTCTGGACTACAGAACCGGTTCGTGTGGGACTTTATGAAGCACATGGTTCAAAAGTACACCCTGCTCTGATACACGTGTGGACACTGAAATGACTTTCTGAGATTAAAGTGAAGCTGCAGGGTCAGAGGTCAGAGTAGATTATTGCCAGGGAAGAAGGGATGCTTTAAATGAAAGGGTGAATACCTGCGTTTAGTGAACATGAAGACCGTCTCTGCTCCTGCATCTGGGCTCTGGTGCTCATCACTTCCTCCCACTACAAATATGAACAACCAGGATCAGATATGAACATAAAACACACACTTTAACAATACTTGTGTTTATCAACAGCAGAAAAGTCTCCATCTTCAAGTTGAATGACAACTTCTGATCATGTTCATTCTTAAAACTGACATTTTGAAGTAAGAACTCTGACTACATTTTTGTGTTTCTTCTAACTTCTGTTAATTTAAGCTTCTTCTCAGCTGTTGTTTTCTTTGCTCATTTCTGCTTCTTTCAGCCAAATTAACTTTGTTCTAATTTCAGCTTGTCATGCTCCTTTCAGCTTATTTCAGTTAGTTTCAGTTTTTGCAGCTACTATTTAGCTGTTTTATGCTAATTTGAGCCTATGCAGCTAATTCCACATTTTTTGCATTCATTTTAACTTTTTTCAACCTCATTCAGCAAAAATGTGCTCTCTCCACTTCCTACTGGTAATTTAAGTTTCTTTATGTTTTTCAGCTACTTTTAAGCTGTTTTTTGTGGCTAATTTCAGCTTCTTTCAGATCATTTCCACTTTTTGTGCTCATTTCTACTTCTTTCAGCAAATGTGTTCTTTCTGCTTTTTTCTACTAATTTAAGCATGTTCTACCTTTTCAGACATTTTTTTTTCTAATTTAAGCTTTTTTTTTTTTAGCTAAATTTCAAATCTTTGTGCTGATTTCTGCTTATTTAAACCTATTTCAGCAAATACAGTATGTGTTCATTCTGCTCTCTTCTGCTAACTTAGGCTTGTTCTTCCATTTCAGCTACATTTTAGCAGGTTTTTAAGTAATTTCATCTGTTTTTCAGCAAGTTCTTCAGCAATAAATATTCTCACTGCATTTTCAAAGGAAATGCAATTTCTCTAGTTTTGGTTATAATCTAAAATGTTTTGATGTATAAATACTAAAAGAAGTGTGAAGAGAACCAAGATGAGAAGAGATGCTGCCAGTAGATCATTAGGGTCACCATGGTAACCTGTGTCTGTCACTCCCTGACAGCAGTCTTAAAAATAGAAGCAGACTGAAACAGAGAGTAAACATTAAGCCTCAGTCACTTTGTGAAAACTAGAAGTTGTTTTGGAAAAGTCCTGATGTGGAAGAGGCAGAACTTTAAATGTAGGAGAAACTACCGTGGATAAAACGATCCTTCCAGTTTTTGATGAGAAAATTCTGACCTCAATACAATGGAAGCTCAAGTTCAAGTAGATTTATTGTCACTTCCAGCATGTGGTACATGACGGGGAACAAAATCATGTACACAGGGTCCCAGTTACATCCAACAATAGCAAAAATATAAAGTGTAAAAAGAAACAGTATACAAGGATCTAAGATACACACTAAACACTAAAAATGTAAAAGTCAGCGAGCGTCTGGACGTACAACACAAAGTTTGTTTACAAAACCATTGGAAGGATTAGACAGTTCAAACAGAGTGCAACATTAGAACTCTTAGTTGAACATTTGGTCATAAGATCTTCAAAAAATTAAATATATAACAAAATCTAAATTCCACATTAATCATGAAAAGTCCAACTTTCTGTGTCACTCATTTAAACTTTATTAATTATTGAGCTGGTGGGCTGGTGTTTGTACCTGGTTCACAAACATCTCATTGTTGTCTGTGGATCTGGTCAGCGGACCAGTTGCTCCTCACAGTTCCAGGAACTCGTCTTAAGCGCAGAGGGACAGGGCCTTCTCTGTAGCAGGACCAAGACTTTGGAACGAGTTACCTCTGCTTGTCAGACAGGCCCCCTCCCTCTCGGTTTTCAAGTCCCGTTTAAAAACTCACTACTATTCAGTAGCTTTCAACACCAGAGGATCTGTGTTTTGATCCTGTATGCTCCACACTGGTTTGTCGTCATTATCTGCATCGTTTTTATGTCTATATTCTGATTTACCTCATTTTGTATGTTGCTTTGTGTGTTACCTGTTGTTCTGTCTGTACAGCACTTTGGTTGGCCTTGTAGCTGTTTTAAGTGCTCTATAAATAAAATGGTATGTATGGTATGGATTTATTTTTCATATTTCTGTTTAGTCCATTTGAAGATGAAGATCTTAACTAGTGTGTTATTATTTATTCCTGATCGAGCAGCTTGCTTTGACATATTTTTATGATGCGGGGGTCACAAATTGTAAGAAAAACGGAGGCGTAACGGCTGAAAAGTACAAACAGTATTTCCTGCGACAGCAGACCACTGATCACAGACGTCGTGCTGCTCTCACCTTCTTTCCTGCCACGTCTCTCATGGTGTCAGTCAGTTTCTTCTCCTCTGCCAGAGTTTGTCTTTGAACCTCTGCCAGTCTCTCCCTCTTCCTCTCCTGCTCAGCGTCGACCCGCTGCAGACGCTCCACCACCTCCCTCTGCCAGTCAGACTCCACACCCAGCTGGTACGCTTCTGCCAGTGACTCCTCCAGGGCCTGCGAGTGTGCGTGTGGAGGAATTTAACCGTTACGGGACTTAAAGATCGTGTTTGTGTCAGTATCACAGTTGTGTTGACTCTGATGTTTCAAGTGTTTTTCAGACGTCACTGACCTGCATGTCAGACTCTGCACCTTGCAGCTGCTCCATGTAGCTCCTCTCCACATTTTCTGCCTCCCTCAATTTCTGCTGCACCTCCTCCTCAACCTCCCGTCCTACACGCTCCTGCTCCTTCAGCAAATGCTGAAACAGTGGTTGTGAAGAAAAGCAGGGGAAACAAAACAAGAACAGTATTCAGTATTTTTCCCACAGAGGACAGCAGGATGTAGAGGTGGTAATGACAGGGATCATCTGCTCTCCTGACTGTTACCTCCACACATATTATCCATTGACTCATAAATATCTTGGACTATCAATCAATGAAGACGCACCGTCTAACCCTACTGCTTATCACTGTCACACTTTATATAGTCTGGTGAAATGGCCACCGTTACACATCCACAGACTCTTACATCCGTACACATGTATTTACAGATCCGTGTTCTGGGTCCATCATGTTTGTAAACGGCACCATCACAGTCTTCAATCTCAAGCTTTCATCACCTTCAGCGCTCCACGAGTCTGGACTGAGCTGGGTCAGAAGGCGTTCTCAGACTCTGAGCCCTCCAGCTGGACCACACTTCAGCAGAATCAGAACCTGTCCGGTCTCGTTAGGCTCCAGAAATGTAAACTGGAAGAACTGGAGATCACATCTATAAACACTTGCTCCTGTTTTAACAGGGTTTTCAATAGTTCTTACTTTTAGAGATACTTTCAGGTACTGAGGACCAGAACCACCAGGTTCTGCAACAGTTTCATCCCAAGAGCTATTAGACGGCTGAACTCAGGTCACTAATGAAGTGACCACAACAGCAAACACACACACGGCCACAGACACACCTCAGTAAAAAACCTTACCCACAACAAGCAGTATATGGGAATTCACTCAGGCACGGCTGCTGTGTGTATTGTGTATGTACTTATATCTACATATATATATTTTTATATACAAAATATATGTAGATATCTGTACATGCATGTTTACGTGCATCATATGTTTAGGTGTATACAGGAACATTCACTAACAGTTGTACATTACTTGAATCTGCACCAGAACTACATCTTCTGCTCTAAACACCAAAGTCTATAAAATTCATGTAAATTATGAACTCCTACACTGATGTGGAGAAATTAAACAAAATTTTGTTCAACTTTGCATTACAATTTTGATTGACAATAAAGTTTATATTTATTTATGTATTATTTATTTATTTTACAGGTATGTCAGTGTACCTTAAATATGAATATTTTGATATGGATTCATGATTTTATTTTTACCCATTTTATTGATTTTTAGTGGTGGGCACAGTTCTAATTCGCTAACAGCTAAGAGCAGAACAAATTTTCCATTGAGCGGATTAGCATTTTCGCTAACTTTGGAAACAGTTAGCCAAATTAGCTTCCCTAAATTAGGTTTGGCCAACTTTAAGTCTGCTAATAAGATTCACAAGTTTGTTCCTGTCTGTTGTGGGCGCGTCTCAAAGAGTCCATTAGGCGTGATGTTGGCTGAATATGTGTACATGTGACAACATGTGATTGGTCGACGCAGCATCAGCTGGAATGAGACAAAGACATGTGACGCAGACTGACAGTTAACTGAGTGGTTAGTGGTTTAACCAACTTCTTGGCTAGCTGTGCCCTCCACTGTTGATTGTATAATTTTGTTTTATTTGTGCATAACAGATCTCTACAAACTACATGTCACCCACAGAACTACCAGCAAAGACAGTCAATGCAAATAAAAATATATTTTTAATATATTTCTGACATTTATTGTGCAACCGGTCAAAGTTTGTACTTTGTGTGTTGTTAAAAAAACATGTACACAAGGCTTTTAATGCTGGGAGGTGATTTAGTAAATCAACAAGAAATTAGAGACCACGTTTATTTTAGAAGTACATTTCTGACTGCCATGTGACTGCTGGTCACATTACAGAAAAGTTTGTAAAAAGTTGTTAAGGTGACAGAAAAGAAGGAGCGTGGAGGAAATGTGGGAGCTACCTGCTCGAGTCGTCTCCTCTGAGCCTCCAGTTCCATCTGTCGGACCTCCAGGTCCTGAACCGCTGCGGCCGTCTCCTTCTCACGCAGATCCATCTGCAGCAGAATGGAAGGAAACATTTGTATTTATTTAAAATAATAATAATATGCTGCCACCTTTTATTTTTAATAAAACTAGGTAAGAACCCACAGGAAATCTGACACATTTTCATTTTACAGGCCAGAAAGTTTCTCAGCAGCAGGTTTGAGAGAACAATCAGAACATGCCCTATTAGAACCTGTCACATTAGATTAGAACATGCTCTACTAGAACCTGCTCCTTTAGAACACCCACATTAGATCTTGCCCCATTAGAACATGCTTCACTAGAACCTGCTCAATTAGAATAAACTCCTTAAACAGCATGTCCCATTAGAACGTGCTGAATGTTCTAATGGGAACAGATAACTCTCGAGTTCAGGACAGTCTGTGTTAAGACGAGGCTGATCCAGTCAGAATTCTCTGTGACAAGTTTGTCTCCATGTTGGACCCAAACTTGTGATCTGATGAAGCATCAGATCCCACAGCGTCAGCTGAGACACAGACCGTTTTCAGACGAGACAACTTTCCTATGGACTCGAGAGGAAAAAGTTTTCTGGTGAAGTTTGTTTTGCTGGCGTGAGCTGAAAAGACCTGCAACTGCAGCGAGAACAGGAAAGAGGTGCAGGAAGAGGTCTTTTTCAAAATAAAATGCTCAGCATACAAATGTATGTACAGTAATATATTTATATACATTCTTTAAGAAAAAGATTGATAATTTCTTAGTGGCCATGTATCAAATGATTCATACAGTGATACCAGTCCTTAGTCTGGTGGTCGGGGACCCTTGAACTGGAACATCAAGGTCCAGTTTTAACCATCTTTTGGTTTCTTTTCAATGTACAGAATTTAAAACGCTCCTTAAACTGCTCATCTTTTCAATCAATGAATCATCTCATGCACAGGAATCACAGAATTGTGACAAACGGTACAAAGATACTGGGGCGGTTCTGATCACCTTCCTGCTGATCTCCTGGTCCAGTTTTTGTATCTGTGAGGCCCGCAGGTCCGTCTGCTGCTGGAGGAAACGTCTCCTCGTGGCGTCCAGCAGCTGGAACTCCTTCACCTTTAGCTCTCTCTTCATGGCTGCCAGTCTGACCCGGACAGAGCAGACTCATGAGATCACAGTCTCATTTCAGTCAGAATTAGGACACATTAAAATGCTTTTGTTTACTGTTTGTTTGTGATGTTTACTTTGTTCTCTGCTCTGTAAGCTTCGCCTCTTCTTCTGCCAGGATGTGGCTGCGCTGCTCTGCTGCTTTCTGTAGCAACCCCTGTAATCAAAACCATTAAAAAAACGACACCAACTCATTTCAACAGATTCTTAGGTGCTTGATTTTACAAACTGGTGAACTGCAGATCATGAGAACTACAATATGATACAATTTTATGGGAAATCGTGAAAAAACAACTACCTGTTGTGCAAAATAGGCTTTTTCCTCAGCTTGTCGACGCACAAAATCTGAACGCAGTTCTGACAGCTCCTGTCTGAAAACACCACACACACATCTGTCAGTGGTTACGTGAAGATAAATCATCTCAAGTTCACAGCTCTGATGATGATCTGTTTATTTTATGTAGACCAGTAATAGTCAACTGATGGCACATGGATCATATCTGGCCTGAAGGCTCTTTCCATTGGGCCCATATAGAACTTGAACTCTGACTTGAGCAGGTCTTTCATATTTTTCATCAATCTTGAATTACTTCAGATTTTTAGGTTTGGATGAAGTTGTTCTGCAGTTGGATCAAAAATGAGCCACAGATGCTGAAAAAAAATATTCTGTGTATGAAGTAGTTCAACTCAAACAATCCCTGTTTGTGATGCTCTTTATCAGGCGGTAAAGTTGTCTAACAAAACCCTAATGTCAGTTTTTTAAATTATAATTAACATTTGTCTGGACTGAAAACATTTTCCACATGTTAGTTATTTATGCGGTGACTTATAGTAAAATGACCTAAATTTGTTAGTCAAAAAGAAAACGAGCAACCCTGTCTAAAACAAAACAACATGCTAAAGTCCTGTGTTCAATAAAAAAAAAACCAAAAAGAATAAAAACAGGGGTAGTTTTTTTATTTCCTCGTTCGAGGCAGCACAGTGACAGATCCTGATGAGTAGAGGGAGCAACTTTATCAACAACCAGGAGCAATGACTGAGCCAGAGGGGGGTCGATGGTGGTCTTGGCCACCATAGTTTAATCTTCGGCCACCTCAGTCATTTGAGGAAACTTTACTTTTAAGCAATATAAAAACTAGAAAGCATAGTTTCCTCAAATGATAGACGTGACTGATTTACCTGTATATATGGTGGCAGCCATCTTGGATTTTGACTTGGACACTCAGTTTTTGAAAGGAACTATTTTACACCTAGATGCAGCCACACACCGCAACTGGTAGAGCTGCTGCCTCTCAGCGAGCAGGTCCCTGGTTCAAACCCCGGTCCAGGGGCCTTTCTGGGTGGAGTTTGCATGTTCTCTCCGTGCATGCGTGGGTTTTCTCTGGGTACTCCGGTTTCCTCCCACAGACCAAAAACATGCATGTTAGGCTGATTGGTAACTCTAAATTGTCCCTAGGTGTGAATGAGAGAGTGAATGGTTGTTTGTCTCGTTTGTCTCTATGTGGCCCTGTGATGGACTGGAGACCTGTCCAGGGTGTACCCCGCCCCTCGCACAGTGATTGCTGGACATGGGCACGAGCGACTCCCGTGACCCAAAAATGGAATAAGCGGGTAAAGAAAATGGATGGATGGATGCAGCCACACACCAGATGAAAGTCTGTACCTCACTTTTTTCCAAGTTATGCTCACAACACACGGACTGACGGAAGGTATTTCCAATGACCCCCTCCCCCCTTTGCTCCATGACGGGGGACAAGAATTATTTTAACTTTTGACCTAAATAAAATCAGCTACTTTAAGTCAATGTTTAAGGCTGTAAACAAATATTGGACAACGCAGATATACCATCACCAGAGCAATAAACAGAAGTGGGCTTGGGAAAATAAAATACTTTATTAAAGAGGTGAAATAATAAATAGGTTTGTCAAATGTTGGAAAACAATCACAGTTATTGTTAAGTGAGACAAATGTTTTAATAGAACCATTTCCTGCCTCAGTGTGATTCATCTCACCTCTCCTGCAGGTACTCCATCTCCTGCAGTCGTATTCTCTCCCTCTCCCTGCTTTGGTACTCCACTATGAACTCTGGGTACTGGTTGAACACTGGGTACTGGCCGCTGGTGAGCGGTGTAAAGTCTGAGAGCATCGTTCGGGGGTGGATGTCAGCTGGCGTGCTGCTCATAAGCCGATAAACCTCCTTCATCATGGCTCCGACATCCAGATTGTTTCGATGGTGAAAAAAGTACTGGAGACGAGAGAAGGTAAAAGGTAAATCTGTGAAGGAGATAAAAAGAATGTTTGCTTAAAAGAGGAGTACCTCAAAGTCCTGCTTCTGCACACAGAGCAGCAGGGGTTCCCGGCAGCAGATGATGTAGGCCACGCAGGCCATGAGCAGGAACGAAGGGTGATTGGAGAAGATGTTGTCGAACAGTCTGAGCCACTCATCACACGTCAGAACCTCAGAGAACAGTGTCTCCAACAGAGGCCACACATAGAGCTGGGACAAACACAAACACATAAAAGAAGGACACGCCTGCATGAGCAGCCATGTTGTCTCCCAGCTTCACCAGTGGGACTGAACCAGGCTGAAGTTACCTGTGAAGTGATGCCACAGTCCACCAGGTGCTGCAGCAGCTCCTTGTCGTGGTGAGCCAGAACGTTCTCGGCCATACTCAGGATGTTCAGAGGAGGGTTGGGGAAATACTCGAACCAGTGCTGGCACCAGTTCACTGCACAAACAAACAAACAAACGGCTGACTCAAAAACCTTTTGACGGAATGAGGAAACACAGATTTACCGTCAGTAATGGAAGTTTTAAAAGTAAAACTGTTGTAAATCAGTTTGTGTTAAAAGGTTTTAGCTGCACAATCAGAACCATTTTGGTTTTTCTACTGCTGACCAGCTGCTGAAACTTTCCTCAGAGCAGCTGAAAGAGTCAGGGTGGAACGTTTTCTCCCTTCTGCATGTGAACACATGAACGGCTGTGAAAGATACCTATGACTGTGGCCACCACCTCAAAGCAGAGCATCGGATTGTTCTGGAAAAGCTTAACGAAAGGAAACGCCACCAGAGGGAGATATTCCACCTCTCCAAAGATGGCTGCCCAGTGAGCTAAAGCGGACAAAACCCTGCAGGAAGACAGAAATCACACTGTATCAACACAAATCAAAGAATCTGAGTCTGGAATCAAAATGTGGTGAAGAAAGCAGCACAGCTGCACATACAGGACTGAGAAAAAGTTATAAGCCATCCCTTATTTTGTTATTATTTACCTCAAAGGAGACAGATTTTCTGGCAGCATTTTAAAATGGTCTTGTTCTCTATATTTTATATTTATTTTAGTTGCTTTTTACCCAGTTCCAGTTCACTTTCTGAATATTTTCAGACGTAGGAATGTAGTTTAGTTTAACTCTGAATGAACTTATTAGGTCCTGCTGCAGAGCAGGATGTCTCTCAGCTCAATAGGGAGTTCAGAGTGATGTAAGAGGATGTGCCCATTAGTCATTAGTCAAGAAGCTGAATGCTTGTCCAGCTTGAACTGTAAACGTCTACTTCTTGTCAACTCAAGTAAACATAATCTTTTTAAACTGGTTAAACTTCAGCGTCCGTCGTTGCTCTTTTTGATGGTGACTGTTGTGGCTTTTAGGAATGCATAAAACACCGTCATGGTCAGGCACAAAGACTGGACAAAGCGCCAGTAAAAAAAAAAAAAAAGCAGCAAAAGTCCAAAAAAAAACCTTTGACAAGCTTCTGAAGACTTTAGATTTGTTAACTGGAGACTCTGGAGAAGAAAGTCTGGCTCCTCTGAAGCAAAGTGTGAACACATTTTAAGGATAGCTTTAAACTTTTGCTCGGTGCTTCACGTGTGCATGAAAAGAACTACCTCTGCAGTCCTCTCTGCAGCTTGTGACTCTTGATGGGGTACTTCTGGTGCAGGGTGAGGAAGGCCGAGTGCAGGCCCTTGTCGGTCAGACTGCTGTACGCTGCGTGGTTCTCTGGAAGACACAGCAAAGACCGCCACACAAACATCCTGCAACAAGGAGGCAGGAAACAACCACGTAAACACAGATGGCACGAACACAACATCCCATGCACGACTCACAGACTCTCCCTCTTAGGAAGGAGAATTGTACCTATATTTAGCAGGATATTCTCCAAATGCTTTGAGCAGAGCCACCAGTCTCTTCTTGTTCAGACCAGCTGGTAGTTCGTTCTAGATTTTAAAACAGGAAACATAAAAACATAAATATTTCATCAACTTACACATCCTGTCCTTTGTATTTAATGAACAATAAGTTATTTTAGTGTTTGTTTTTTTTACCTCTTTATCCTCAGCTGAAGACCCCCCTGGTGGTCTTAGTATCTTTACATGTGCTTGCCTGCTGCTCTTGGCTGGTCTCTGCACCACCTCTGACCTAACTTTCATCTTGATGTGTGAAAAGTTCTGAGCACCTCCGGAGACTACGGCCACCTGAGATGGAGGAGGCTGCAGAGGGATGAAACGCTCAGCATGAACACACGGGAAAGGAAGAACCCGTTAGCAACCAATGGGATGACTTTCCTGTCACCTTGTTTAGTTCCTGGGTGAGACTCTGAACGTTGTAGATATTGATGCTCCCATTATCCATGATGGCCACGATGTGCCGTCCGTTCGGGCTGACAGCCACTGAGGTGATGGCATCGTCGACGGAGCCCATGTGGAAGAGAAGCTTACACGTGTGAATGTTGATGAAACGCATCACTCCGTCCTGGCTCAACACACCCAGTGTCTGTGGAGACAGAAAAACATTCACTCACAGAGTGTTTACAAGAACTGCAGGGCAAACTGAGCAGTTAGAGAACAACAAGTCCAGCATGTAGGCGACGCATCCAGGTTCCTACGCATTTCAAGTTTGAAGAATCTATCCATACTTATCCACACCTAGAAAACACCAAAACCCAGCTCTATCCTTTATGTTCCAGTGCAGGAACAGGTTATTTTCATTCAACCTTTACTCAGACAGATAAGTCACATTGAGCCTAGAAGACTCATTTACAAGTGAGACCTGTTTAGACAGACAAAAAGTAATGAAACTGGACACGTAGGAATTGGAGGCGAAAAACTTCCTATGACTTTTTCTTCTTGGCTGAGAAGAAAAACTAATATTTAAAAAACACCTCGCACAAACAGCACATAGTGAGGTAGACATTCCGCAGAGGGGGGGAGACGACGAGAGCAGTGAGCAATGTCCATGGATGCTCTCGAGGACACTGTAAGAGTTCTGATAAGGATGGAATAATCAGCCAATTTCCTCTGGTGAGATCCGTAAACATTCTCGAGGTATGTTGGGGAATGACCAAGGACAATGCCTATGGGAATCCAAGAGTTCTGAAATGATGACACAAAGTTTATTCAGCTGGTTTCATCTTGTTGATGAGTTGGAAATTCCTCAGAGAGGGAGTGGTGAGCGTCAGATCACATGTTCTCCAGGCAAATTCAGATAAGATGACCTTCAAGGCCAGCCAGGGGAGCCAAATTCAGATAAACGCACAGATGTTTTGGGGACAGGCAGAACTTAATGACATCTACCTTGAGTCTGTGTTGGTCCAAACGGTTCCAACATGTCCAAATTACATGGTCACACCAAAAGAACATGACTGAGTAAAATCCCAGAGATCTGATCCATTCTGCCCAAAGCATTTGAGTCTGGGTACTTGAGGCACGAACCAAGCCATCATAAAGGCAAGCAGCGTGATCGGGTCCCAATTTGCTGTCGACGACTTCCTTGATTGTTGATAAAACCAGCAACCAGCCGAATCCAAAAGGCAGGAACCAGTTATCGTAAATCCAATTAAATATGTGTCCTTAAAATCCACAAGCGGCAGCAGAGATAGACACATCTTAAAGTTGATGAGATGTCCAGCTGCGTATGTGCCAACAGGGCAAATTGGCTCGCCTAAAGCCTGTCGTCTCTTGGAAGAAATGTTGTAAATTGAGTTGAGGGACCAACTGATCAAAACAAGTCCATAATTATGGTTCGGAAGAAATGCAAGAGTCTCAGAAGCAGTTTTACAGACAAGAGAAAGTAGCAAAGCGGAGGGGAAGGGAGAAGCGTCCGACCTCGGCAAGATCAAGTGGAGAAGTGATATTATTTCAGCAGGAGACTCAAAATAAAGAGTCATACAAAACTTTTTTAGCTACAAAAAGAACAAAAGTCTGATGCTTCAAACAGTCCTAATCCCAACATCATAAAATATAAAGCAGTCTGACAACTCAGAGCCACAGAATAGGGTCTTCACAGTGTTCATATTCCTGCCAAACAGGTAAGTACAATGGTCAGATGTACCTGAGACAGGTGCTGTATGAAAGGCTGTTCATGCTGAATATTTATTCTGATCTATCAGTACTGTGGCTAGTACCAAAACACAAACAAAACAAGTTTGATTAAACAAAAAGAAAGGAAACAAACGCAACCAACAAAAAAGGTTAAATTGTGTCATCTGGCCCAGTTTCTTTAAGTGACAAATATTTCGTCCCCCATCCAGAGGACTTCCTCAGTCTACGGCTTGCCAACCAGATCTGCCCCATAAGTAGTCTTCACTGCTGTGTTTCAAGCCAACCTCCTGTTGGAATCTCAAAAGTAGACTTAACATGTGCAAACAGAGCACACCCATCCAAAACAATCAGTCATCATGTACAACAATCAAATGTTTTAGACCAGGTGGCCAACTTGCTACTCACAGAAACAGCCCGAGAACACCAAGGCCAAATTGGTTAAAAAAAGTGTTGTAAATTCAATCATTCAGGTAGAAACAACAAAAAAGGTTAAATCGTGTCATCTGGACCAGTTTCTTTAAGTGAGAAATGTTTCAAACACAATATATAAAATAAGATTCTACTTGTAGAGGAACGAGGTAAGAGTGAAGCTTGCACATATAAAAGTGTGTTTTCTTCTGAATATTCAGTACATTTACAGTAAAGTCAGAGACATTTAGTCAACAACAACATAAAAGCTGAATTTTCTGTCTGTGTCTGTACCTGACTGGCTCCTCCATCAAAGCTGTCAGGCAGGAACTCCAGCTGCCTGACGCTTCGAACCTGAGAAGGCATCTGGATGACCCTGAGCAGCTGCTGGCTGTCCAAACACCACAGGTGCAGCAGGTTGGAGCGGCCCCCAGCGGCCAGGATTTTACCATCACTGTCAACACAACACGCAGGTTTCAGAGCCGAGCAGAGTTTGACTGTGAAGTTTCCAACATGAGATGATGGCGTTGGAGTCAGAGGAGGCGGAGACCCACCGTGTGACAGCAAAGGCCTTGTAGGAGATTCTGGGTCCACAGTCAGGAACAGGGAGCTGGTACCTGCAGAAGAGTGTGTCGCTCTCCCACGCAAAGATGGAGTCGTCACTGAAGCAGCTCAGGATGGTGTTGCTCAGAGGCAGGAAGAACACCTGGAACACCAGCAGCAGTGAATCGTTAGAACTGTCGGACTGGAAAAAATCAGCCTCACCCTAATTACACAAAACACTTTGAGAATGTTTAACCCAAACATTAAACCATTTATGATGATTTTTTTTTTTAATTAATCTCTGACTCAGAGAATTAGGCTGCAGATGAAACTGCTGAATTTAAAGTGATTGATACTCAACAGCCTAATGAACAAACAAAACAAAAAAATTATATACACACACACACCAGAATTATTTTATTTTTATTTTATTTTCCTACTTCCAGCCGATTTAAATTTTTCATTTTTGATTTAAACTTACTGTAGCTATCATCTTGATCTCTAAAACTTCTTTAAAATTTACATCTTTAAAATCAGGTCTCTCTTGTAAAAGAGTCCTCGACGCTCAATGAGACTAATCTGTATAAATGTAGTGAGAGAGCAAGAGATGGATTCAGCTCAGGGGTGCTCTCTTACATTTTATAATATCTGGACTAGTTCAAGTACATGATATTATACTTAATTTAAACGGATTCTTTCATTTTTCTGGACTAAGTCATATCGTGCTTTGTGGAGTAAATGTGGACAGAGACGTGTTTAAATTTCTGACTCACCAACAACAGTGGGTCGTTTATTTTAAACGATTTAAAAACACATCACACATTTACATTAATTGGCAGATTGATTACAATTAACACAGCATAATTAATGAGCTTTACAATGAGAAATCATACGGCCATGATTTCTCACTTGCAACTAATTACAACAGACATTTCTGAAAATATCTGGATTAATTACTGGCAGATAGAAGAGTTTTAAAGATGGGGAATGAAGGAGTTTAAATGGAGAGAAAAGATGTGTGAGGGAAAATGTGTTGACGAAGAACGACACCCTCCATTCGAACCCAGCTCTACCTCGGTACACTTCGGTAGTGGAAATCGACTCTTTACCTTGCAGAAGATATCTCAGCTTCGGTGTAGAGTTCTCTTTCAGCGTTACCATTTCAGCGTCTCCGTAGGATAGCAGAGAAACGTCCGGAGTAGTGACAGTACTTCGTTCAACAGCACGCTCACCTCCCGGGTGGACTCACATGAGCTGTGAGCCCGTCCCAGAGTTCCACTCAGATGTGGAAGATTCCATAATCCCCGCGAGACTCGAAAGAACTCCCAACTAACTCCAGCACTTCAGAACTTTCGTTCGGTTCTGCTCTCAGAACTTTGGTTCATGTCTCAGAACTTTGAACTCCAGAACTTCTGTTCTTCCCCGGAACTTTGAACTAGGAAGTGTCGACTTTTAAAGAGTTCGCTTCCGGTCCCTTTTTTGGGAAATCCTGATTGGTTGAAAGAACCAACAGGGGTGTGGTTTTAGTGACGTAAGAGGTTACTACAAGTCAGAAAAACAGTGAGATGTTTTAAGAACAGACAGAGAAATGTTATGGCGAAATGAGAGACTCACAGGTGCCAGCTTCTCTTGTTTACCGTCTGCTAGGTTTAACAACATGACAGTTCGTTCCAATAACTTCTTTCTGACTTTCTCCGACTTTTGACCGACATCACTCCTTCTCATTTCAGACAGAAGATCAAAATGCATAATTACTTTGTAACAGACATCTAACTTGATTTCTACTTTGAATGAGGATTAAAAATCATTAATACTGTTTCACAGTTGATTTAAAATGAGTAGTTCACTTCAACATTTAAAAATAATTTGAACTAAACACACTTTGATTATCAAGATATTGTAAAATAGTAGTGATAATAAAAAAAGAGTGTGTTCTTTCAATTGATTAGTGCAGGACACACTTAGAAAGTCTCTGGATGAGCTTAATTTGTGTTTCTGGACTCAAATCAATTAAATAACAGTTCCTGTCCCACGAAGGTCCAGGTTTTGACCTGAGGCTTAGTTCACTACATAAATAAAGGTTGAATGATCATCTGATCAGCTGCTTTTGGCTGATCCAAAAACAAGATTGAAGCTCAGAGGTGATCGGGCTTTTTCAGTCATGAGCCCCAAACTCTGGAACAACCTGCCCCCCAACATCAGGCCGGCCACATCACTTCCTGTTTTTAAATCTCCACCTGATTTCTCTGTCTTTTTACACACATTGTGTATTTTATTGCTTTACATTTCTACGTTTTTCTTTTGATACTTGTAATTAAATTTCAGTACTATCATTATTTTTATTGTTGTTTTTTTCCCCCCATTAAATTAATCCCATTCATTTTACTGTTAAGCACTTCGGTAACAGCTGCTGCTTTAAATGTGCTTTATACATAAAGTTGACTTGACTATACTGTTTAGATTTAAAATAAGAGTACTCAGACATTTGTGTTGCTAAAAAGCTTAAAAATTCAACACAAACCTGAATCCACCCCAAAAAATGTAAATATATAATTTTATATTTTCCATCCTGAGTCTCCGAGACTGAACATCAAGTATTTTCTTTTGAGACTGATGAAGCATTTGTTGGTGGATTACTTTCTGAATGCCGACAGACTGCCTGATGTTGAGCTTCCTCTTCCTCTGGAAGGTGTCCAGGTCCCACAGCTGAGCCGTGTCTGATGACGTGCTGATGGCGTATCGGCCGGAGCTGTGCACCGAGATGGATGAGACCGCGCCCTCGTGACCTCGCATCCAACTGATCAGCTGTTTGGTGTCTACAGAACAAAACATCCAGTTTAAAACAAACAAAACACAAAATAGATCGAGACATTTGTCAGAGTAAAAGTATAACGAAGGTCTTGTGTCTTATCGAGATACGAAAACATTAAGAAGATTAAAGACCTTCCACCATGATCATGGCAGAGTTTTAGATTAAAATAGTTTCATGCTGAGAAGAATTTCAGTCCAGTCTGGTGTGAAGTGTTTAGGATGACTCTCAGCTACTACCACGTCAAATGTAGCTCAACATCTAGAAACCTGACAGAGTTACAGCCATTTTTGTGCTGACAAAGACTGATTAGCCGCGGTGGCCATCTTGAATTAGCTTGACCCCAAGCATTAATGAGTTGGTGGTTACTTTACAAGAGTTTAATTTATATCCAGCAGTTTACAATATATTTTGACAACAATTAATGTTAAAGTTTAAAGGAAAAATATCACACTGCTCTGAGTCTGCACCGGGGATTACTCTCAGCTACTACCACACCAAGCCTGAACTTAATATCTGTAACAATGAATGAGTTACAGACAATTTAGTGTTGAATGTGGTTATATTAGATCTTGTCATGTTTTTAATTAATTTTGTCTTTTAAACTATTGTTGTAATTTGTTGATTTTGTGTGCAGCACTTTGGCCAACAGTTGTTTTTAAATGTGCAATATAAACACATTTACAAACACAAATTTTGATTTGACTCTAAAATTGAATGAGTTTTAGAGGTTCACTCAAGGATCACTTCCTGGGTTTCATTAAAATTGATCTAGTTGTATTTTGCTAATGCCACAGACACACACTAAAACATTATTCATTATTTCCTGATGCATGCTCAATAATCCAGGAAGAAAAATCTAAAAAAATTAAGTCTGGTCCTCTGGACATTCAAAAAACAAAACAAAGCAAAACAACAACAAAAAATACGTAGAAACGTTTCGTCTTTCATCCGAAAGAGATGAATCAGATCAGACTGAAGAAGTCTTTCGGATGAAAGACGAAACATTTCTACGTATTTTTTTGTTGTTGTTTTGCTTTGTTTTGTTTTTTGAACGTCCAGAGGACCAGACTTAACATTTTTAGATTATTCATAATTAGTGCTTTATCTTTGGCAGCAGGAAATAAGAATAAAAAGTAACTTTACAGTCTATTTTTTCTAGTGTTTGTTGCAAAAATGTTAATTTCCAGCCCCATTCATTCAACAGGATTTTAAAATAAATATGTGAAATGCTGATCAGCTGATTTTGATATGCAAAAACTTAGAGCTATAATCATAAATGTAGTGTGATATTTATGGTTTGAACTTATAATCGGTATAAAATAAAAAGTGGATGTCTCCATTACCTACCTTTGTCAAAACACTTGATTGTGTAATCAGCCAAAGCAACAAGAAACTCTGTGGTTCTGCGGAGGCTGAACGCCAGAGCAGTGCAAGCTTGTCCCGTTTTCTGCACCAGGCGAAACCTACGCAACGACAAAAGATAAAAATATTAAGATCGGGTGTGGGGTGGGTCTTGAAACTACAAGGACAGCTTCAATTTTAAATTAACCTTAGCATTTATGATGAAAACACTGATGTTTGCTTGTAGATGAATAAGAAATAAGGATGAAAAAAAACATTTGTGTGAGTATTTTCTAGTCTGTATGGTCCACAGTCAGTCAGTCACCTGTTTCTGTTGATGTCAAAAACATAAATGTTGCCATGATGGTCTCCAGCCAGGAAAGAGTCTCCTGTGGTGTCAAAGGTCACATGAAGGAAGCGAACAGTCTTGGCCTGCTGGACAGTTCGCACCACTGTCACCAACACACTGAGGAAGACAACAGGTAGATGAGCAGGTATGAAGAACACCTTTTCTTTTAGCACTTCCTCATGGATCAGATCTGATTCTGACACACTGATGGGGTGAAAGATTAATATAAAATGGTCTTAAATGAGCTCCCCTGACACAAATGAACACTTACTCTACACTATTTTTGATAATCTTTGCTAAAATAATTCACCTTGCAACATTCAACAGCCCCAGGTGCTCACTTTTGGGGAAAGTCGTGTTTAAAGGGACATTTTATGCAACCTACCTCCTCCCCGAGGTTGGTTTTCTATGCCAGACTTTCCCTTCCTCTTTGTTTCCGATGTCCGTCACCTCCATCATTAAAGAATACTATGAAAAGTCATTGCTGACATCAAGAAAGCAGCTCTTTATTCAGCCTAATGTTGCTGCTCGGACTGGAGTTAAACGGATGTTTAGCAAACAGGTTATCAGGCTAAACGCAGGCGAGGCGGAGGAAACAGCGCGAAATTTAAAAGCAACATTCCGGTTCAACAAACAACTAATAAAAGTTTTTAAAAATAACCACACACGCTTTCGAACATCTTAAGTCACCAATAATTTATCTGAGCTCTAAAAACTGAAGAATTATAAGGACAAACGGCTTCAGTTTGGTTTGATTTAGCTTCTTTTCGAGACACTTATCTGGTCGCTCAAAGATGACGAACAACCTTGCATTCTGGGAGTTTGAGTTTAACATGTCTCCATCAAGGATTTTTTTTTGTTACTTTGTTTTTGTCCATAGTTGGACTATTATAAAGTTGATTCGATTTTTTTGAAATAGCAAATTTTACAAAAACTTAGCACAGTTTTAATAAAAGAAAAATCTGAAAACATGAATTGTTGTAGCACATGCAATGTAACTACGTGTAAGTTCATTATAAACTTACTTTTAAATAACGTCTGCATGTTTCACTTTTTTATTTTTTGAAATTTTATACATAGTCAACCACTAAAACCATATACTCAATTGTAAATCTACTTCATTAGCAAAAGTAGTCTCATAGATATAAACATATAAACATGATTATATGATATCTATGCAGTAGTAGTCTAAGCAAAATGACATGTGTATATTAATGTAATACTATAATCAAGACTGCAGTGACATAGTAAACTAGCCATACTAAAACTTTAAGAATTATATATTTAAACACGTTTTCTCAATTTCTGAAATTACAATTTAAGAAAAAAAAGAAAATCAGTAATTGTTGGACATTTTTACATAAAAACTTTAATTTGTATTTCTGTGAAATCTCTAACATGAAACTGTGTTGTTAGGCCTGGTCGTCTGGTGTCTCGTTGAATCGACCTTACATTAATCAATTTTTGTTTTAGGCTGAAAGGCTGTGCCTCAGAAGCGGACACCACAACATAGAAATTATATTATCATTATAGGTTAGTAAAAGTACACAACTACAAACAGATATATTGTTCCTGTTCAGTCAGACATAAAAGATAACGACAACATAATAATGTTTTTTTTTCCATGTGTAAACCTCCACAGGTTGCTTTTCAGCTCAGATCGTATGCTGCTTCCTCTCTGGAGGGTCAGATGTTATTTATTTATTTATTATTTAAATAAACTTAATTTAAATGTTCAAATTATTCCTGTGCTTGTTTATTTCCTTAAGGTTAAAAGTGCTGATCTTTTTTTTGTTTGTTTTTTACAAAAACTACTAAATTAATGAGATAATTGTACATCAACAGAAACAGGTGAAATAAAAGTAATCAAAAAGGCTTAATGATACCTTTTTAGGTCAGCCTGAAAATTTAAAGTAAATGTTGTTGAACTTTGTAAGTCTTGTAGTACTAGCGTCTAATGATTAAGTCATAGCTTTATTATTATTATTTGCATTTCTATCACATTTTAACAATTATCTTTAAAGTTTCTCTAAAATCAAACTACCAAGCACAAACGTTCTGTAAAAAATGTTCTTGAACATCCTTTTGTATTGTTTTCAAGTCAAATAAATTATTTATATCTTTATGTTTTGTTAATAAATTCCTCTGATAAAACTGAATCTCCAAAACCAAAGGTTTGACAGAAACAGGTTCTTTATCTTTTATAAATGTTTGTTGTTTGGTTGGCCTTGTTGCTGTTTTAAGTGCTATATAAATAAATTGGTATGGTATGGTTTCAGTCGACATGCCTTTGGTCGAGTTAGGTTTTATTTTGAAAAGCTGAACCGGATGTGGCTGAGTGAAACGGAAGTTAGCCCTTTGGTTAGCCACGTCATGGAAACTTAGCATAGGAGCAGCGGACTCGAGTTTTAAGAAGGTTTGGGTTGTTTTCACATATAGGTTTTAATTTTGGACCTTTCAGTCAGCCTGAAGCTTATGGAAAGATGTCGGAAATCGGAGAATGGTTCCGAAGCATCCCTTTAATCAGCCGGTACTGGTTCGCAGCTTCGATTGCTCTTCCTTTAATTGGAAAACTGGGACTGATTGATTTTAGAAATCTTGTGCTGTCGTCGGAGCTGGTCTTTAGAAGATTTCAGGTAAGTTTATCCACTTTTGTGTCCGCCGGTGTACGTTGTACAAAGTGGTTCAGTTTTCTCACTGTAGTTCGGATGTGTTGGTTAGTTAGCGGGCGGCTAACAGGCCGGACTTGTAATAGCCAATTAGCGTGCGACACATTGGAGGTTTGGACTTCTGGAGACTGTCAAAATTCTTCTCGATGACGTCACGCCGAGCACCGGATGAGGGCTGTTCTTTTTAGAGTCAGAGTTTCTTTATTGTCATTCGCACCTCATGTGGTACATGTGGTGGAGCGAAATTATGTACACGGGGTCCCAGTTACATCCAACAATAAAATGTATAAGAAAAACAATAATAACATCTAAGATATGAACTAAGAAAAACAAACTAAATATACACTAAGCACTCATAACATAAAACATTGAACATCAGCACAAACATGAACATGAGTCTGTGAGCAGATGTGTGCACGCATGAACACAGCAACATTGAAACAGATCAGCAGCAACATGAAATAGATCAGCAGCAACATGATATGGTTTTTCACAGTGATTATTCTAGTTAGAGATTCATGAGTCTAACAGCCTCAGGGTAGAAGCTGTTCCTCAGTCTAGTGGTTCTACACTTAATGCTCCTTAACCTCCTTCCTGAGGGGAGTGGGGCAAAAAGTGTGTGTGCTGGGTTAGTGGGGTCCTTCATGATGCAGGTGGCCCTCTTCCTGCATCTGGAGGTGTAGATGTCTGTGAAGGTGGGGAGGCTGATTCCGACAGACTTCTGTGCAGCCTTCACCACTCTCTGCAAAGCTTTTCCTTCTGCAGCTGTGCAGCCTCCATGCCACACGTTGATGCTGGAGCACAGGATGCTCTCCACTACACACCTGTAGAAGGAGGTGAGGACTGAGCTTCCCAGACCAGCTCGTCTCAGCCGTCTGAGGAAGTAGAGTCTCTGATGAGCTTTCTTGATCAGGCTGGTGGTGTTGTTGCTCCAGCTGAGGTTGTCATTCATGTGTACACCCAAGTACTTGTAGCTGGAGACCACTTCCACCGCAGATCCTCTTATGTTCAGGTGGGTGTAGATGTTTTTGTTCCTTCTGAAGTCCACAATCATCTCCTTTGTCTTCTTCACATTGATGTGAAGGTTATTCTCTCAGCACCAGCTCTCCAGGTGTTCCACCTCTTGCCTGTAGCTGGACTCATCATTGTTTGTGATGCATCCCACCACCGCTGTATCATCTGCAAACTTTACAATGTGACAGCCTGGATGGGTAGCTGCACAATCATACGTGAGCAGAGTAAACAGGAGGGGGCTCAACACACATCCCTGAGGAGAGCCAGTGCTGAGGGTTATGGTGGAGGAGGCGAAGTTGTGGATCCTCACTTACTGTGGTCTGTTTGTTAAGAAGTCTAGTACCCAGTTGCAAATGGAGGGGCTTAGTCCTAGTGTGGATAGTTTGTCCATCAGGGTTTGGGGGATCATGGTGTTGAAGGCAGATGTGAAGTCCACAAAGAGCAGACGGACGTAAGAGTTTTTCTGCTCCAGGTGGTTGAGCGCAGTGTGGACCACAGAAGAGATGGCATCCTCTGTTGATCGGTTCTCACGGTATGCGTACTGATGAGGGTCCTCGTTGATGTTGATTGTTGTTTTGATGTGAGTCATGACCAGTTTTTCTAAGCATTTAGCGACTATCGGGGTGAGGGCCACTGGCCGATAGTCATTCAGACCAGTCACTGTAGAGCTTTTTTGTATATATGTATATACATGTATATATATATTTTTATTTTTAATTTTTATTTATTTATTTAATTTTATGTTATTTTTTTAACCCCCTCCTTTTCTGTGCACATGTTCACCAAACAACACACCTCATCATACGTGCTGAGTGAGTGTTGTAAGACAGTTTGGGTCAAAATACAATAATTATAAAGTAACAGTACAATAGTTAATTTCTTATCTGGCAACCCTACTGGCATGGAAACTACAGCATTTCCATTGACCTTTTTACAGTTAATAATGCGCATGCATAAAATCAAACACCGCAACCCCAGTTTTCATAGATGTCTGCTTTTTTACTGACTTGCATACAAACGCATTTGTAAATCGGTTATATTAATATTTTACTGTGTAATACCGACTACGTAATGCTGGGTATCTGAACGACTGCAGAGCAGCTGAAACAAAGTTAGATATGAATATTGTTTAGACTGAGTAGATTTCTTTTTTTTTGGTTGGTTGGGCGGGCGCTCTTGGCCGGGTCGTCCTGGTGGGGTTTGGCTCCATCTGGTAGCGGGCTGACTGCGGTCTGTGGGGGTCCTGGCGGCCCTCGGGTGTGTAGGCTGCTGGTACTGCTTCTGGCGGCCCTCGGGGCTCTGTCCCTCTCTGGTCTGGAGCTCAGCGGGCCTGGCGGTCGGTCCAGATGGAGAGGTGTCTTGGCCTCAATCCCTGGGTGGACCTTGGGGAACTGGGGGGGGGGGGGGGGGGGGGGG